ATCCATCCTTTCACTTCTCTAATCCTAAAGCTCGCCAATTCATGAATGTTCCCATCTTAAACGGGTTCATTTCAAGAGATACGTTCGAATTGCAGTTTGTATCGTGGTCAAGTGGCTAATCGTTCGCTTAACACGAATCGTGCACCACCACCATCACACCCCTATCGTAGCACCGAATCGCAGCATGCATCTGGTGAGCAAAGTCCCACTTCACTCACAAAACGAACAATTGTAACGATCACGTCACCGTCTCAAGACGAGTCGTCTATCGACTTGGAACGCAATATCGAGCCGCAGCAGCATCAGCCACCACGTCAACCAACACAGCAGCAATCCGGCGTATCACCACTGATCATATGATATCATATTATCACTACCACTCTAATCATTCATCCTCATCATTATCATCACACTCATTTGCATCTCCTAACAAACGCTGGCTGACTTTTCATCTGGATTGTGAGCTGCCAAATTCAGAATAATCTAAATTCAGAACGGGTTCGATCACTTCAACGAAACATTGAGGGAAGAGCGAGAAAATCAACCAATACAATCGCAACTGAGACAAATTTTCACGTTCATTTCTGTGACTGGACGGGAACTTTTTCGGAATTGCTCAGTATTCGACCTCTTTAGGTTTTGAAAAAAATGAATTAGATCAGATACGAAGAGTATTTGATTAGCAGAAAGCGTTTGAAAAGGAGCAAACGAGCATTGACGCTATGTGATGAATGATGAGGACTTGAACACCTCATCTGCAAATGCCTCAATTCCAGTGGTGCACTAAAATTGCTTTTGGATAGCTTTGTGCTCAATTTTGAAACGATGATGATTCGTTGTGTGTGTATGTCTATGAACGCAACCAACAGCAATCATCGATCACGATCGATTTTAAATTATAACGATATTTCATAAAAATGATATCAATATTGAATACTTGTGCATTCTCAACAATATAATACTGAAATAACTTGAACATGACCACTGAAAAACTATCATAAGCCTCATATTAAGCACTTCATGCAAATATATACACTTATCAATATGTAATTGTTCAGATTCCTCCTAAAATTTTTAGAATATTCACATTAATCAAATGAGATCAAGTGTTTCATTTCCAACTGAGCGATTTCATCCACACAATAACGAAACCAATTCTTGCTCTTCGTAGGTTGACTCACACTCAACCGAAACCTTACGATCTTATGACTGCAGATCACTTGCAACCTTATGAACATCTATCTTCTGATGATTACCACTGCAAAACAAAGAACACCTTCTGTTTAGAATGAACAAATTTTATTTTATTTCATATTCACAACAAAACAATTCGTCATATAATAGGCGAATAAGAGTTCTTATCAATCAAATGATATTACAATCAACGAAATACATCCCATATCGAAATATCCCAAAATAAATAAACAAAATTTATCACATTCAATAAGAACACAACACATCGAGGAATGATTCGTCAAAGAGGTCACATCCTCTAAATTCTAATTATCAACTACTCCTTCGTCTTCCCATAATAACGGTAAATGACAACGTATTTGTCCTTGTTGATTGCACACCTCATTGATATCCATATTCAGTCTCTTCGACCATTCCACACATTGATCGAATAACATTAACATACAATACGCATCCAACGCAGCGTATCGTAACTACAATCATCACCATTATTGATTGATTGACTTGATCAATGCCTTATAACAGATCAATAGCTTTCTACATCCCGATCACTCTATCGGATCATCAGGAACTTGCTTACAATACGGTTCATAGCAATAAGCCTTCATTTAGTTAACAAATGAAACGTTTTCAGAATGCTCACAAATGAATACTCATTTCAAGACGCACTGCTCACAAATATGTTCTAAATGAACTTAAATAAGAGTTTTGCAAATAACCTGTAAGCAGCGTAATGGACGACGATCCCACACCGAGCACTGCTCACTCTTATCCAACGCCTTCCCCAAAACACATTCACACAACGCCGACAACCCTCTTATTGGTCGTTCCAGCTGGCTTCTCCTTTCGTTCTCCTTCAATAAACCAATAAATTAAGTTTTAGATTCAACGTGACCAAATTAATTGGCTTCAGCCCGGTGAAAAAACTCACGTCTTTCGGTTCTTGTTTTCCGATGTTCGACCTGGACTCTGTTACTTCGTTCTCATGGTTCGCTTGCGATGACACCGATTGTTCCTCCATATCACTAACATTCATTTCTGTCCCTTTTTCTTCACTTGCCATCTTTTTATCTCCACACATCTCAGTGCTGGTTTGTCCATCTTGTGCGACTTGCAAGTCGTTTGCTGGATCCATCAACAAATGGTTACTTCCCTCCTCTTCACAACAATTCGCATTTTGCTCGATCTCATTCTCTTGGCCAAGAGCAATTCCATTGCTATCACTATCTGGAGTCTGCTGTTGTGGCTCTTCTGCTACTTCTTCCGTGTTTTCCAGTTGTTCACTGCCTTCTAGTTCACACTTTCGAAGTGGCCAAAAAACACCTTCTAGATCAACGCCTTTTTGTTTGATACTCTCGGTTTTTAACTGAAATATCTTCGTCAATCAAGTTAAAAAATGCTCACTGCTAACACATCCATCCATACAATTCAATAAAACCAAATAAAAGCGCTCACAATAGCACCAACACAACAACAACATACCACTTGCACTAAGCGATCAATACAAATCAGATTAGCTGGATGATATAAAGCAACTGATTTTGTGACTGCATGCCGTAACTGTATCAAATCCTCTGTGAAATGATATCCTATAATCAAACAACCACGTTAAAAAACAATACTACGAAAGAAAAACACTCAACTGCAAATGTAAATTGCTCTACTCACGACATGCTTCGAAACTTGTTCAATTCTTTGAAGTAACACACACAAAATAAAACTAATAAATCAAAGAGACGAACCAATCTTCTTGATTGCATCATTATGGAAAAGTTTATCGAAAAAACTCGACAATGCTTGTGAAGCAGCTTTCGAACCGAATGCATCCAGGTCAACAACGAACACCTCTGTGCGAAAAGCCAACTGGAATATTGTGGCTCTGAAATATCAATGAAACAATACTCTACAAACCATTATCGTCATCACCACAACAAAATGACAATAAACGGGATGAAAGCTTCTCACTGTTCACTGTTCTCATAAAAGTAAAACTAAACCACCATACTTGCTAAACGAGACATACGATGACCATTCTGCGTCAATGCCAACAAATGGATAATTCCCAATCGAACAATTATACAATTGATCTTCGACCACTTTCAGTTTATCAACAGTATCAACCATCGTTATTGAATTGACACATGCTGGAAAACTTACAAATGGCGGGTTTGCTGTTAAAGGATCGATGATTGTGTCAAATCTGAAATTGCTATTATTCCAACGGTTGTTGATAATGAAAGAATCTTGTGGCCATATCATTTATAAACTATTAAACATTCCACGAATTCAGCACGAATTCAAGTAAATTCAACGTACTTGGATTTAATTTCAGTTCTGTTATAACGAGCGGCCTTGAACGTTTTCCACTTATGCGCTTCAGGAACCTGATTGTATTTCTTGATCAAATGCTCGAAAACGAATGTCCTCAACTCGGGTCGTTGTACGCATATTGTCCACAATACTTCGTGCATATTTTCAGCCTTCAACAACCAAATTCACGTGTCAACAAAATGTTAAACCACTGAAATGAAGCACAATTGTGACAGAATCACTTCTCGCTCAACTATTTGAACCATATCACTCCCGTCCCATCACAAAACCAGAATGAAAAGAATTTGGTGTACACATCAAAAATATGTCATTATTGCAAACGCATCCCATATATACAAAATTAGCCTATTGGTGAAATTTTGAGAGGAAAATAACCTTCCATGTTCCATCCAAGTAATGACGAGCCGCACTCTTCTTGATCGCTACACGTGCCCAACCCAAATCTATTCGATCATCCGATGGAATCTCTTCTTCACCTTTCAAACTCTTCACCAGATAATTTATTGATGCTTTGAAGTCGTTATATTCAAACGGTTTCCTACCCAAATACTGTCTGTACGACGATGAATTCATTCGAATTTTATCTGCAGAAAAAAATAACGACATTTCAGAATACTTAATGAATACGCACAGACCATGACAAAGCGAAGACAAATAAGGATGATGAAAATATTTGCTACATGAACGATGTAAAGCAGAAATAAAAACTGAATGAACCTTTTTCAAGTGTCCATCGTTCCTTAGAGCCAGCGATCTCTTCTAATTCATAAATAATCTTTTTACATTGTGTTCTGAAGGGAGTGGATCGATTCAACGCCGCAAACTGCTCAACTGTGCTCGGTTTCAACGCACCCATGAAGGCCGCATAGCGTAATATTGATGGATCCTTGATGTAGGACGAAAATCGTGATTCGTGCATTATAAATTTCACCGAAATGAAACTGAAATAAAACAAGGTATGTTTGTGAATGTGTCCTCAAGACATCAATTGAGAATGAATATTAGTATTTACCTCGCCCATCCCTCTTTGACTGCCTGCAGTATTGTCGAAACAACCAGCTGAGGAATTGTGAATAGACCCAGAGCGAAATTCGCCTTCTTCCAGAAGCTGTTTGAAGATGAGAACTCATACGGGATCAATGCCTTTAGAATATTTATTCGCTCCTCTTTACTCAACGGAAAAATTGAGGTTGTCGGGCCCGACTGAAACTCAACAAAAAGATAACTGATACCGAATACAATGCTTTACACAACACCCGATCTCTCTAGCATTCACTTTAAGTATGTTCCACTTATGTGAGCAAGCTTGTTAAAACATCGCACAAAATTTTAACCACTTCAAGAACAAAAGCAAAACGTTCCTCGAAGATTACAAAAAAGATAAATGAAATCCCATCGAGAAGCAAATTAGGACAAGAGAAAAATATACTTCTGATAACGACATACATACCTTCTTCTTAGCGAGTTTCTTTCCGTGAACAATCATTAACTCCAGAAAGCACTGAAATTTTATCACTTTAATTAAACCGTACTATGGAAGAAATCAACTTCTAAATGTGTTTTTGCACTCGAATATTGCACTGTGTGATTTTCAAAGTGGACTTTATCATTGAGGAAACAATAATATCTAACATTTGCTATCAAGTCGAGAACATGTACACCATCATGCTCAGCATCCAGCCCAGAACGTTCACCAGCGTACACCTCAAATTCCCGTATAACCGCCACAAAAACACTCGGCAATTCAACTGTTTCGATTCTGCAATACAGTATAGATTCAGCCTTTAAAATAGCTAATGAACTTAACTGCATTCTTTACAATACGCATTAAAAAACCTCCCATAGGCCTCGAAATCACTGAAACCTCCCATAAGCTTCAGTTTCAAGCTAAAGGCAGATTCATCAGTAGGCCTTCTTTACCACTGAACTCCGGAAGATGATCCTTTTGGTAGGTAGAGAACATGAATGCACTATGAAAATCATTCAGAAAGGCCTCTAACAACTTCTGCTTGCTCAATTTATTTCATGTCAAATACGAACTGAACAACTCTAATAATACGAATTATTATGCGTTCAAATCGGCTGAAAATTGAAGAAAAGACTAGGATATACCTGCTGAATATCGATAGATACTTGAGATGTCTGGATACGGCATTCCCTTTAGATGGCTTCAACGTTAACGTATAATCGTATGCGTCCGAAATTAACGATCTTACTAATTTATTATCCACATTTTCGGCAGCATTTGCCACTTCAGAAGTCATTCGTAATAATCTGGAAATGTCAATTAATTTCAGTCAATCAAATTAATTCAACGTAAACATCAAACGCATAAAAGTTTCATTTAATTAAAACTGAATTTTATTACTCCTTAATCCCGATATGGAATAGACCTATTGACACTTGGACATAAACTAGTTCCTGCGCAAGATCTGCCGAAAATCAGGAGATTCACGGCCTTTAAATGCTTCGGTTATCTCGGATTATCTTGCAACCTCACTGAACGTTATATAATCTCGCATGAATTGAAAGCGTCAATAGCAACGGAATGCCACAAATCAAGTGTTGTCTGCATGCCTAATGCTTGCTAACAGATAGCCAATGGCAATTGAGTGTTGAGAGAAAAGAAGTGGTACGGTAGTTTGAGAGCTGATTGGAGGAAACATTTCATTGGCTGCTCACACAGCATTACTGTAACGGCTACGGTATGAGCCATGTTCGCCCTCGGTTTTCCGCTACAGTTTACCATTACAAACTAAACATAACGATTCCGAAGTGATTCTTTCCACTACGAACTATTGATTCGCTCAATTCACGTTCACGTTCGTATACTCAACTTTTTTTCGTTAT